TTGGTACTGGGGATCGAACTCGGGTTCTTGCGCTTGCGCAGCAGGCAGCGAAACCACTGAGCCAAATCCCTGGCCCCGAAATTTTGATTCTTAATAAAATGAGTTATTAATAAATACAGTTTCAAAACAGGCTTTTTAGAACCAGGGTAGGACAGGGAGGTAGTGTTGAACATCTTTGCTTTTGCACTGTTCCCTTGGTAGGCACAGAAAGATTTGTTTGCTTTGAATAATGAATCCCAATTTAAAGTCATTTTATTGTCTCCATTCACAAATGTTTAGAAGTCTAACAAAATTGTATAAACTTACAATTGCTTTTGGCCCTTCAGTTGTCAGTGTGTAATTTATAAAAATAAGCCCTTCCACTCTTTTATTTCCCTGTTTTTGATGTAAATCATTAACAAAGTTTATCTTTCCTTCTTGTTTTGATAATCTCTCCTGAACCCCACCCTACCTATCTCTGGACTGGAAGTTTGTTTTTTTAAAATTAATTTTATTGGTACATTTTAGGTATACAGTATAATGACATTTATCATTGGAAATTTACACTTTTACATAATCTCTCTTGGTCCTTATTTTTTCCCCATTACCCTGCCTTCCCTTCAACCCCTCCATTCCCCTCTATTTACAAAAACTTTGTTTCCATTTCTTCATTTTCTCATATTAATTCCATTCCCTTCTTTCCTTTCCCCTACCTCTCCCACTTCCCCTTCCCTTTTGCCCCTTTTCTTCCTATTTCACATTATCTGTTATACCTTTTAGTCTTTATTTACATGGAAGTTGTTTTTTAACACTTATTTTTTTGAGACAGGGCTTACTGTGTAGTTCAGGCTGGCCTCAGTCCTGATCAACCTGTCTCAGCCTCCTGAGTGCTGAGCTTATAGGTGTGCATTACCATGCCTGGCGGTGGCCTAGAATCCTTAAGGCATGGTTTGTGTTTGTGAAATGCACTTGCCTCAGGTTTGACTGAGGAGTCCAGAAGGCAACAAATGATTCTGCTGTAGCAACTTTTTCATGTCCCTTGGTTTGTCCTCAGCAGACTGGAAATGAAGAAACTGGGGTTATTGGGAAGGGAAGTTTGGAAAATGGAGCATGCAAACCATTCAGAAAAAAGTGAGAATAAAGCAACACTCACACTTTGGAAATAACAGGACATGTAAATGGACAGAAGTGTGTGTTTGGGGCTCACTCTTGGGAGGGAGTCATGGTAGATACTTGCTAGGAGAGGAACTGATTCAGTGTTTACAACCTAGCTCTGAGGTTGAGGGAGAGAAGTTTAACCTGTTCCCATTGGCTTGAACCACTGGTGGTATATGGCAAATGGAATTTTTTTTTTTTTTGGTACTGGGGATTGAGCTCGGGACCTTGCATTCGAGAGGCAGGTGGTGGAACCACTGAGCTAAATCCCCGGCCCCACTGGTGGTATATGTATGGCTGCCCCATCAGACAGCTTGTACCACCTGATGGGACTGTCCTGTGCTGCGGGATGGGTCAAGCTGATGGGAACATAAAATGTTTAAATTTGAGCCACCCAGCCAGCAGCAAGACATAGGGTTTTTTTTTGTTTTTGGTACCGGGGATCGAACTCAGGTTCTTGCACTTGCGCAGCAGGCGGTGAAACCACTGAGCTAAATCCCGGGCTTAAAACAAGAATTACAGCCCCATCATGAATGAGAAAGTCAAGTCTGAGTATACATGGCCCAGTTCAGCAAAGCAATGGAGGCTCAGATGTTTGGAGCTTGAAGCTCTGCCTGCTGGTACCTCCAGGATCCTGTGTTGATCTCATAGTTTTGAAAGTTTCATTTTGTAACATCTTGCTCCAGTGAGGTTCGCAGCCCAGTCAGCCTGGAAGATGGTCACTCAATGGCCTGGTGTCCTTTCAAACTGCTGGCTATCTTATCCCCAGAGATCTCCCTTCTTACCATCTGTTGGTACTGAAAGCTATGTATAAGCCTTAAGAAAACAGCAGCTGCCTGGCACTCTGGAAGGCTGAGGCAGGAGCGTTTTAAAGTTACCCTGCTTTGGGGCCGGGGATTTAGCTCAGTGGTTTTACCGCCTGCTGCGCAAGCGCAAGGACCCGAGTTCAATTCCTGGTACCAAAAAATAAATAAATAAATAAATAAATAAATAAATAAAGTTACCCTGCTTGGGTAACTTTGCAAAACCTTGTTTCAAAAAGGGGGGACAGGTAGGTACTAAGGATGAGGCTCAATGTGAAGACCTTGAATTCAGTCCTTAATAAACACACCAAAAATAGCAGCTAGATATATAAATTATATAGATAAGCTTGGTTTCTTTTTCTGACTGACAAATATTTTACTAGCTCTTTTGCTTTGTGAGGCCTGAGTAGTTCAGAAATCACAGCAGGTTGAACTTGTTACAGAAAGGCCTGGCTTCTCCAACAGCCCCAGTTTCTGAATTGCTTGGCATTCCTTTCCCAACTTGTGTATGGCCTGCCCTTCCTCAGAAGAATCACTGATTTTTTTTTTTTTTCTTCCCATAGGCCTATAAGGCTCTGTGGGATGTCTGGGTGAGCATGCTCACATTCTCTTTCAACCTTCTGGAGGATGCTGGGCCCAGTTGAATATCTGCCAACACCCCATAACCCATCTCCCCTGCCCAGGTGGCCTGAGTAGAGGGCAGCAGAGCTCAGGTTATTGTATCTCGATTGGGGAAAGCATTCTTTCTGTTTTTCTAAGATATTCTCAACAATTGGAGGCCATTTTAACCAGCACCATTTACTCTTGTGCTTAATTGAAGCTTGGAGGGAGATCCCCAGTTCTGCTCACTTCTTTGAAGAGTGGGGCACCATACTTGCTGTGAACCAACTAGAATGACAAATGGAAGTACTGGGGTCTCCGGCACATCATAGGACCCCTAGGTATTACTACTGATTTTGGCACAAATCTGCAATTTAAGATAGGAAGTACTGAAAATCAGAGTGTTCTTTTTTCCTTTGCAAGGCCCATTTCATTTCTATCAGTAATGAATGTAGCGCTGTGAATGAAAAACTTCGTTAAGTCAAATGTGCAGGTTATCATGAAAAAGTTTTATCTCTGGTCCTCTGACAGGCTTTGGAGGATTCCTGAGAGTTGGGCAGATCGGTGGAGAGGTAGAATACGCCTGTCTTTTAGCTGTAGCCTCAAATGGAGACAGAAAACTTGGCATATCTTAGGGTGGAGAGAAGGTGGCGAAGCTTTATGAACTGCCCCTCCTTACTTCTATGGCTGTATGTTATGAGTGACCTTTGCATTCCCTGTGCCCTTTTGCTGACTTGTTTTTTTGGTTTTTTTTTTTGATGTGCCCATTTTTACCTGAGTTTTAGATAAGGAAGCTGGAGCTGTCCATTGTTATTCTGGCAGAAACAGCATGGCAGTTGGGTGCAGAGTAAGGCCCACCATGGGGACAGAAGAGGTGGTAGGTCCTCGGCTACCCTGGGGAAATGTATCAGGATGAAGGTTAGTGAGAGGGTACTGGAAACAGGTCCCAGCTAGGCAGCCATAATTAGACAGCATTGTGACTCTAGGCCCCAGGTTCCTCATCAGTATAGTATGAAGGATGTCCTCATCTGGAAGTTTTTCATGAGGTGTAAGTAAGACAGTGCCTGACCTGAAGGACCCAAATGGTCAAGCAGTTGAGTGTGGTAGGTGGAGTCTCACTTTCTCTTCTGGCACCAAGTATGGTGTTGTATCTGTGCCCATCCCTGGAGACTTCTGGACCTCAGTTTTCTCATTTTATAGATGAGGGACCTCTGCTGGACAACTTTGTGATATCATTTATTCAACAGTGTTTATTCCATGTTTGACACAGAGTTAGGTGCTGGGGTACTCACTGTGAACAAGACAGATGGCGGTCACCGAGCTTGAGGACCAGAGCTGTGTGTCAGGGATGTGGACCTCACTGTAGCTCATCTGGAGGAAGAGAGGGGATAGATGTGTTTGGAGTGGGTGAATATGCAGTCCTGGACTTTGGTTTTTTTTCTCTGTGAGATGGAGGAGTTGGGCCACAACCAGAGAAGTTTTCAGTCTGCTTTAGATTCTGTAAGCTCTTGAAAGCCCAGGAGAGGTTGCTAATCTTGCTCTGGTAGAGTAGTCAGAAACGTCACCCCCCCCACCATGGAACTCAGGACATTGCACTTGCCAGGCAGGTGCAGCGCCACTGAGCTACATCCTGGGCCCAGAAACTTCATAAATTCTTGAGCAGGGAGGATCGGGAGAGAAGTGGCCTTCACGGAGAATTCCTTGAGTAGTTAGAAGTCACCAGGACCGATGTCAAATATTTAGCAATTTTAAAGATGTAGACGGCATTTTGAAGTTGAAAGAATCCCGAAATAAGAGACTTTCTTGCCCTGCATGGAATTTTGAAACTCAGATTTGGCTGCATGTAGCTCAGTGGTAAAGTGCATGGTTAGCATGTACAAGGCCCTGGATTTAATCTCCACCGCGCGCGTGTGTGTGCACGCACGTGGATGTACACACACACACACACACACACACAAATCTGATTCTGCTTCTGAATGTCCTGATTGTGCCTGGCTGTGAAAATGCAGCTCACAAAATACCCATTGTCCAATGGAAGCCTTTTGAAAATGTAATAGTCATATTTCTGGGGTTTTTTGTAGATTTAAATTTTATTCATTATTAATGAATTATTAATTTTTATAGATTTTTTTGAGGCAGGATCTTGCTCTGCAGTTCAAGCTGGTCTTGAACTCACTATGTAGGGCAGGTTGGCCTTGAACTCAGCATTCCTCTTGCCTCAGCCTCCTGAGTGCTGGGATTACAGGTGTACACCACCACACCTGGCTTTCGTGTTACTAATCTTGTCTTAGTTTTGAAAGCAAGATGGCCTCTTGTACCCTGGGATGGACAGCCTGTGGTCTGTCCACTCACAAAACTCACCCAGTCACACTTAGTACGTACCATTTATGGAAGTGTCTTGGCCAGGCTCTCTCACCCTCATGAGGTGCTCGTGTCACAGTGGAGTGTGTTTTCTCTTTTTAGGTCATGGCTAGCTTCTTGGATCTGAGGCTCCAGAGGAGGAAATGACTTCAGGGCTCTTACCCCAGCTTGATTGCGGAAACTGGACCTTCACAGGGTGTGGACTTACTGAGGAAAGGCAATTCTTTCTTTAAAGGGCTTTAAATTTGTAGCAAAGAAAATAAAAATGACGACTTCGTCTATCAGACGGCAGATGAAAAACATTGTGAACAATTATTCAGAGGCTGAAATTAAAGTCCGGGAAGCCACCTCCAATGACCCATGGGGTCCATCCAGCTCTCTGATGACCGAGATTGCTGACTTGACCTACAATGTGGTGGCCTTCTCAGAGATCATGAGCATGGTGTGGAAGCGGCTCAATGATCATGGCAAGAACTGGCGGCATGTGTACAAAGCACTAACACTGCTGGACTACCTCATCAAGACAGGCTCCGAACGTGTGGCCCAGCAGTGCCGTGAGAATATCTTTGCCATCCAGACTCTGAAGGATTTCCAGTACATTGACCGTGATGGCAAGGACCAGGGTATCAATGTGCGTGAGAAGTCAAAGCAGCTGGTGGCTCTCCTCAAGGATGAGGAACGGCTGAAGGCAGAGCGGGCCCAGGCTCTCAAAACCAAAGAGCGCATGGCCCAGGTGGCCACTGGCATGGGCAGCAACCAAATCACCTTTGGCCGTGGCTCCAGTCAGCCCAACTTGTCTACCAGCTACTCAGAACAGGAGTACGGCAAGGCTGGGGGATCACCAGCCTCCTATCATGGCTGTAAGTAATCAAAGTGCTCCCTGCCCCTTGTCTGATTGGGCCCCTTGTCTGATTGGGCCCCTTATACAGATGTGGCAGCAGGGGAGAGGGAGGTAGGTAGTATGGTACCATGTGTACCCTGAGGCCGAGGGAGTGGTGATCACCTTAGGGCCTGACTCTGTTCTAAATTCTCAGCTTTTGGCAATCCAGATAACCATGCCCTTGGTCTGGATTGAGATATGGTCACTAACGGGCTTTGAGTTCCTTGGGTGCTCTGTGGGTCTCCTTTGTGCATCTGGGAAGTACGGCCCCTGTGGCTTCCTGGGTCCTCAGGAGATGGACACTAACGCGGGTCTTACCATTTTCCTGCTGAGAAGGTCTGCCAGCAAAAGGATTGTCCTGCTGCTCAAACTGTGGGGAGCTGACTGATAGCCTGAAGAAAACAAATGCTCTTTCTTGATTATCTTCTTCTTTAATCTCACATTAAATGTTTTTCTACTGACTGAGCTGCAGGTCTCTTGAATGGCTCAGTGTAATTATTCTATTTCAGTATCATGGAGGATGGAGATTGGATTTCTCTGTCTCAAAGAGGGGAAAATGGAAAGAAACATTTGCAGGTGGTTAGTGTGAATTCCAGATGTGCAAAGGGACTTCTTTGTGATTAGGTTGCATGGCTGTATCTGTGTTGGGCAGAGCTGACCTGTATTTTGGGTTTGCCCATCTTTCAGAAGAGAGTATTTTGGTCTTTGCCCTTCTTTCAGAAGAGATTTAGAGGGCAGAAGTGGTGTTCAGGAAATGATACATGCTGGTCTCTGAACCATATTGGCATTCTGGTTGTTCACTGAAAGATTCCAGAATAGTGCCCTTCCTCCACCTTCACAGTGCTGTGTGAACAGTATGGACCCCATACTCAGAAAGGTGGCTCTGGTGGCCTTGTGGGGTGGGGCAGGGATGACAGTGGGGGTACAGAAATTGTGTCTTCTGGATGCAAAAACAAAAGTGCAGGTTTCCATTCTGTGTTTTTTGGAATTAATAACACTATGTCTGGATAATAGAAAACTTGTTTTTTTTAAAGGCAGTTGTTTGTGGTTTGACAAACCCCTGTTAACCCTTGCTTGGTTAATGGTTTTGTCACTAGACCACTTAGCAACATTTCCTGCTTTTGGAGGTTCAGTTAGACTTTCTATTTGTAGGGGCTGCCACCAGGAGTTTGAGAAATGTGTCAAATGGGAGATTTGCGTATCAAAATCAGACTTCCTGTCTCTAGGAATTCTAAATTACTGGGAGCATGGAGCAGGTTAGCATTTTCTTGTGCCATTTTTAGTTATCATTTCCTCTTTTAGTCTGAACTGTTTTGCTTAAGCAATGTTTGTAACCTCTGTTAAACCACTTGAAAATGATTCAACTTTAATCTTCACAGGTCTCCCTTAGGGTTAAGTTTGTAAACCACCCTCTCCCATGAAGATTGCCCTTTAAGTAAAGAAACTGATTTGTTTCTCTCAAGGACCCTTCTGCCATAGCGCCAGAAAAGGATCTCTTTGAATTGCCTTTTGCTGTGGTTGTGATATATGATCAGGGAAGTGGTTCTTTTCTTTCCATGCCTCTTACAGTCGTTATTCTCTAGATGCCAGAGGATACAAAGCAAGGAGCTGAAACAGCACCATGTTCATGAACAGTCTGTGAAACATTCCACATGCAAGAACGAGACTGAGGGGATAGCAGCCTGGTTGTTTGATCTGGCCCCTCCTTCTTATTTTGAGCCAGAGCCATGGGCTTTGCTGGGCTTCCACTGGGCGAAATGATGCCCCAGCTCTGAAGTTTTCTAGTTCCCTCAGACCTTGAGCCTGAGTTACATAATCAGGGTCAAATTGTGTTCAACAGGCTCTTCATGACTGGCTTCCAAGCACAAGGGACAGCAGGGGTGAGGCAGGGCTCTGGGTGGCCTCAGCCCATGCTCCCTGCAGGGCTGCTGCACATCCTCTAATGGTCTGTCTCTCTCTTATGTGTATGTGTGTGTGTGTCCCTGCCCAACAGCGCCTGAGGCCTCACTGTGCCCTCAGCACCGCACAGGGGCCCCACTGGGTCAGAGCGAGGAGCTACAGCCACTGAGCCAGCGCCACCCCTTCCTGCCGCACCTGGGGCTGGCTTCCTGCCCAAATGGCGACTGGGCCCAGCCCTGCCTCACTTGTGACCGGGCAGCCCGAGGTGGGACGGCGGTTTGCTTTTCTCCTTCCTAGAAATGCTGGGCAGCTTGTTGGGGGGTGCTTCTTATGCCAGTACAGCCAACTCTCTCCCTTTCTCCTGCTGGGGCTGGTGGTCCAACCTCCAGCACCCTGGAACCCTCTTATACCTTTCTCCCCAGGAGATCTTGGCCTAGCCATGTTCCCTTTCATATGATCACATACCAACTGCTTAGTAGTGGGACTGCTTTGGGTAGGCATGGGGTGATGGCCCCTTGTCTCCCTAGGCCTCATGTCCTGACAAACTGGAGAGGGCTCTGCTGCCTGCCAGGCTGCCAGTGGTGGTGGATCAGACCACTTGACTTGAAGTGGAAATATCTGTCTCAAACCTCACAATGCTGGCACCAACCAGGTCCTAAATTGATGGTCACTGGAAGCCATCATCCTTGGTGCAGTAGTTGATGCCTTGCTGATTATCCAATGGGATTGTTTTTGCTTCCCAGTCAACTGCTGTCATTCCTGAAATCCCTATTACCACAGTAAATAGAGAGTTAGCTGTACTGTCAATTCTAGGTCATGGTGTATGAAGATACTGAAATCAATGGATAACTAAAAATGGGGATTTGCTTCTCTTTGTTTGTTTTTGGTTTTTTTTTTTTATGTACTGGAGATCAAACTCAGGGCCTTGCGCTTGGGACTTCTCTTTTAACTAATTTTTTTTTTTTTTTGTACTGGGAATCAAACTTGGGACCTTGCGCTTGCTTGCAAGGCAGGTGGCAGAACCACTGAGCTAACTCCGTGGCTCTTTTAACTAATTAATAATGTATCCTGGTCAGAGCCTATACTGTTGGAGGTTAAACTGGAAATAGATTTTTCACTGTTGTTTGTAAGAAAATGCTCTCAGTTTAATCTTCCTTTGGTTGGAGGTAGGATCTGCTTGTGAAGAAAGCACTCTTTTCTACTCTTAGCAGAAGGGGCTCTGACAGCAGGCTTTTTCCTGACTTCCCTGATAAAGTATCTAGCCTTTTATTCAGCCCTGGGGACAGTTGCTGTTCATTCATGCCTCATTAATATTACAGCTTGTTTGACTTGATATATGTGTGTGATCACTGTATTTAGTGCTAAGATTTTCCTTCATCTCCCTGTCTTCCCCTAAAAGTTTATACAGAATTTTGGTTCCTTCTATGCTGACCTTAGAAAATATAAGGAAGATCAGCTTTGTGCTGAAAAGAATATCAAGTTCAAAGCTTATTTGAATGGACACATGAATTACATGTCCATTTCTTCTGCCATATACTCAGGTTTCCACAGAACTTCACAGAATTTCCCCTTTGTTTTCCTTTGTTCTACCCATTTGGTAACTGGTAAGATCTCTTGAACCTTGGTGGTTATTTTGGGTTAATCTGTCCCTATAGCTTTGATATTTGCTTCTTTTTTTTTTTTTTTTTTTTTTGAGACAAGGTGTCACTGTGTAGTTCAGGGTGGCCTTGAAGTCACTGTGTAGCCAAGGCTGGCCTTGAATTTGCAGTGATCATCCTGCCTCAGCCTCATGAGTGCCACAGTTACAGGTGTGCACCACCATGCTTGGCAACATTTGCCTATTAAAACCAGGCCTGGCTATCTTTTCAGCTGGGCCCCCTCTGATCCTTCCTCTGCGCCTTTGCCTGTGTGATTCCCTCTGCTTGGATGGCCACCTCCCAAATCAGTCCAGTCATTCAATGTATATAGTCCATGTGGATTTCTCTTATTTTTCATCTCTAATATGAATTAAAGATAAATATCAGTATCTTTTTATTTAATAATTTTTAGTGTATGTGCTGTGAAGCAAGCACATATTTAGTAATTTTTTATACCCCAGGTGAATTTTCAGCAAACAAGTGGTGTTACTTGGGATTGCTGTTCATCCTTAACTATTTGATACAAGCATTTCTTTCCATATTCCTCACCTACCCTGTGATGCCATGGGGTGGGACCCTGTCCTATGTTACTTTTCTGTTCTTTCTTGTGTTGACTGTTAGGTAGGTGGATTTGCTTGGAGTGCACACTTGCAATCTAGCAGTGGAGAAGTCAAAGTAACCCCAGCCTTTCAGAAAAGAATCTCCTGAAATGTAGTCTGTGACTCATGAAAGACATTTGTGAGGGAGATTTTTAGGACCCAAACCCTGCAGGAGCAGAGGTAGCTGGTTGCTGAGAAGCCTTCTTGCATGAGAGCAGCCATGGTGGGAAGGTGTCTCATGCTTTTGACTGTTGTCCTGATGGGTAGTAACATGATGGTGTTTGGGGACAGCTTTCTGTCATGAGCCAGATATCATTTCATCCCTCCTCTCCCTCATTACTCTCAAATGTCTATAGATTTGACTGTGGATATCTCCCACATTCTGTCCTTCATCTCATTCTGTCACCTTAGTCCAGTGCTAGTCTTTTGATTGATTTCTTTCCTCTCAGCCTACACCGTCCTCATCTTTACTCATCTTTATCCTATGCTCTGGTTCTAGAGCTTAGAGTACACCTTTAGATGCTAGTAGCTTCCCTCCAGGGTCATCCCTGAGTTTTTGTCAAGGCAGATAAAACCTTCCCTGGTTGACCTTGGTCACCTCTTTCAGGCCCCGCCCCCCCCCAATCTCTCTGGGTCCCTGTCCTCCAACAGAAGCATCTAAGATCTTAGGTCTGTTGACATCTGCCTTTGCTCTCAGCTCCCACATTTCCTTTGGGACATTGTTTACTGAGTTCCCGGCCACCTTGCTCTCCTTCAAATGCCCTAAATGCACTCCCACCTCAGCCTCTGTGCTAGGCACTTCTCCTGTGGTGCTTGCATGGTAATGGAAAGGAAAGCATTTAGCATGTTATATGATGAGTGCTCTGGAAAATAGCAAAACCAAAACAACCCTGTGAGTGTGTGGGGAGCAGTGAGGGTTGTTTGTAGTGTGGAACACACAGGGATTAGAGAAAGAGGTAGAGTGTACTCTGGAGAGCTGTGACAATGTACAGGTTTAGGTGGGAATGTGCTCAGGGCATTTGAAGAAGAGTAAAGTGGCCAAGGAGGCGGCTGGAGCCAGTGAAGGAGAAAGGCTGGTAGGGTCATGGTGGAACATGGCAAACTCTGGCCTGTAGGGTATGTAGGGTGGAGTCTCTCAAACTACTTCTGGCAAGGAGCATTCCTTAAATTCCTAGTCTGTCCCAGCCAGATACTTTAGTGTCAGTGTTTGGGTGTTGTTAACAATGTCAGATAGCTATAAAAAGGGGCTCACTATACTTATCTTGTCACAGACCACATGCTCTGCTCCATGAACTGGCATGAAGCCTTCTGGGTCTACATCAAACGGCCCATTGGCTTTTACTCAATCAGATGGGGAGCTGGGGAGAAGTGGTTTGAACATAGGAGAGACGCCATCTGAATTAAGGGTAAGAAGGGTTAGGAGGATCTCTCTGGCTGTATGTGAGGCAGGGCAGGAGCAGGCCACTTACTGCCTTGGTCCAGGTGGGAGACAATGGGTCTGGAGCCTGTCGTGTGTCAGGAGTCTGGGAAGTGGCCAGGCCTTTGGAGTGACTTCCTGGAGGCCTGTGAGCAGAGTCCTGGGTGTGAGTATGACTGTAGGTGCAGCAGGTTTGGTGAGGATGAAACATTGAAGTTGTCTACTCAACACGCAGGTGGAGATGTTGAGAAGTCTGGAGTCTGGGAGAGAATTCTGGGCTGAAAAGGGAGGTGTTGGTGCATAGATGGTGCTTCTGACTTTTAGCTTTTTGGCCTCCCTGTGTTCAGGTTTACTTGAAGGCTCATGGCACATTGGCTGCTTCCCCACCCGCAAGGGCTCAGCTTACCCAAGTTTGCTACCCTCACACGGTCCTGTCATCAGGTGATGCTTGGGACTGTTGTGTGTCGGCCAAAGCTGGGTGGCGTGGAAGAGACTTCTCAGGTCAGAGGGCTGAAGGCTCTGCCCAAGATCACAGAAGTGGCAGCTGGCTTGGGCTCGGGCCCAGGTGTGAACAGCCTACCTGTGCTCCCATCCAGCGACCTTGTCATCTTCTCAGCTTTTGCTGGACTGGCCACAGCACTTAGTAGGCTGTAAAGGAATTACAAAAGTTCTTGAGAGTAGTAGGAACTTCGTTAAATCATAGGTGACAGAGAGGTTTGTGAAGATCCTAAGATTCAAGGATGAGGCCTGAGAAAAAAGATTGCTGCTATCCTGTGTGGATGACTGGGACCAGATATCCTCTTCCTCCTGTCTCCTGCCCTGGCCTGGGCTCCATTGTGGGCCAGTGAGAGACAGCAGTGCCTCCCTAGTTCCACAGCCTTTGCTCCCTTTTGCTCATCTCTTTGAAACAGCCTCTAGTGTCAGCTCCTGATGTATTGTGAACCAGCCCTGTGTTGCCTAGTCTCTTGGACTTTTTGGTGGGAATTTAACTGCCAGGATCCCTGTTCTAAAAAAAAGTAAAAAGAAAAAGGAAGGCAGGAAATCAGAATAGAAGTTCTTGTCATCCTCTGATTTACTTTAGTGAATCAGGACAACTTTTAAGTACAGAACCGAAGTTTTGTGTTGGGCTTTCCCCCAGATGAGTGCTGTCACCCAACCTTCATCTCCAAATGGCCTGGCAGTCTGTCTGGGTTATGCCTTTGGCACTGTGGCTGGTGCAGGGGAGCCAGCTGTGGTGTGGTTCAGGTCTTCTCCTAGAGGAGTGTTAGTGAGCCCTTCACCTCCAGGGCCTCAGGCATTGGCTGCTCCCCTCACACACCATGGGCAGTGGCTTACCAAGTGATTACTGGAGATTATGGGCATTTAATGTGTTTGCCTTGCTTCACTCCAGAAGGGATTTGAGTTAGCTTGCAAAACACATGCAGTGCCATAGGATTAAGTAGATAGCAGAAGAAAGTGGGGCAGAAGGGAATTATGGGTGAGAAAATAAAATAGCCAGAGTCATACATAGTTGGTAGAGATGGGTCCAAATTTGGCTTTGACCTTCTTAGCCAACAAATCAAGAAGACAGTTTCTCTTTGGATTCTGGACAGGTATCCAGGGTCTAGGTGCA